GCTTCTCTTCCCTACCTTCTGCTCGCTAAAGATGACTTCCTCCACCTTGCCAACCTAAATCTGATCCCTCTATTAGCTCCCATTACATCCTTATTTCTCTTCCATGGCTCTGTTTCCAGTCATGTTTGCGCTCTGTTCTGTCTGTGCCACTGCATCAGCACCACCTCTGAAGGCAAGGATAGGGGCTGCCTGATTTCCTGCTCTCTCCCCAGCTCCCAGCTCAATGCCTGGCTTATAGCTGGTGCTCAAAACTGCTTGTGGACTAAGAGACTAAATCTTAATTGTTCCCACCAAAGAAATAAAGAAATGATAATTACGTGACTCAGTAGAAGCATTGATAGAAGTGTTAGCTGACGTTGCAGTGGCGTTCATGTGGCAACATACAAATGAATCAAACCAACCCATCGTACACCTTGAACTTCTACGATGTTATATGTCAATTACATCTCAATAAAAATACGTTTTTTAAAATACATCAACATACAGTGAAATAAACCCTATTAAAAGCTAAGCTAATAAATACCCTAAAACTCCCCACCAAAAACCCTCTTGTTGAATAAATGAATGGCCAGGCCATTGAAGGCAGCCTTTGGGGAAGGCAAAGTTGCCTCTGGGAACAAAACTTCCACTCGTTGGGGGTCAGGACGCCTGGGCTGTGGTCCTGACTTTGCCACCCACTTGTTTTATGGCCTTGGGCAAGTCATGTCTCCTCTCTGGGCTTAAGCGTGCTCCTCTGTGAAATGCAGGGGTTAGCTGTATCAGGACCACAGACAGTGGTGGTGGTGGTGGTGGTGGGTATACGGGAAGGGGTATATGATGTGTGTATATACGCGTGTCTACACATGCCCGTGCACATTTTCCTAGCAAGAACATCCATAGCTTTTACCAGATTCTTAAAGGCATCTGTGGCCTCAAGAAGTTCAGATTCACTAACCAAGATCCTTTTCAGCTCGGGGCAGTGGTGGGGGGTGATGGTTATGATTATATATAACTAGAGAGAAAGAGGAAGTAATCCAGCCTACGGTAGACGGAGCTAAAGAATTCCCATCAGAGGTGAGGACCGCACAACAGGAACACAGGGGAGGCTGTAGGACTTGGCCTCCTGGGGAACTCCTAAACTCAGCAGAGCTCTGGGCAGTTGGGCAAAAGCCAGACCAACTGACCCGAGGGGCTGGTTTTTTGAGAGAGGAGGCTGAAACAATCCTGAGTCTCCTCCCTCTGCTCCTGCCACCATCTGACAAGCACCCACTTGCCTTGGGATACAGCAGAAAGCGAGGAGGCGAGGTTGGCACCTGGAGATGCCCTCCAGGCCCCTTGGCACCCAGGTCAGAGAAGGTTTGGCGGGAATGCTCAGGAGGGGTGCCAAACCCCACCTTCCCTTCTCCTGAAGTTGGCAGGCTGACATGTGGAACCAAAGGAGAGCTTAGAGCATAGGGTAATCGTGGGACCCTCAGGAGGCCACCTAAGGGGTAGAGGGCCTACACCTCCAGGCTCCAAAAACCCAGGCTTAGGGCTCTGAGGCCTGGGAACCAAAGTGGACAGATCTCCCCAGAGCAAAGAAGAGGAGCAGGCCACAAATTCGGGAGGGAGGAGGAGAGTCCTGTGGATAATGGGGCCTGGTGGGGGCGGGGGGGGAGGGGTGGACAAAGCAGGCCACCAGAGGGAGGAGGGCAGTGTGGTGTGAGCAGAGGACAGCCTGCTTAGGAGAACGAGTTGGGGGCAGCATGCAGCAGGGGAGAGGGCAATATGGCCTGGGTGGGAGGGGGCTGCCCAGAGGGGAGAGGAGGAGAGCAAGGCTGTGGGTGGAGGAAGTGATAGGAGCCTGTGGCCCAAGGAAAGAAGCTTAGCATATGTATTGGAGGGGGACAGGGGGAACATGGTCAGTGGCAGCAATGGTGGCATGTCAGTGGCAGGTCTGTCAGTGGGAGAGCCCTGGCTGGGAGCCCAGATGCCTGAGTAACTTCTAAGCCCTGACTCCGGAGGGGAGCTCAGAGCCCAAGAGATGTTTATCCACTGCAAGAACGTGGTAAACGCCCCCTCTAGTGAAGCGATAAGCAGCCTGGCTGTTCTTTCCTGGGTCACCGGTCTCCTGAGAGTTGCAGTATAAATGGGGGGGAGGGGGTGCTGGTGAGAGGAGAGAGCAGCGGGCAACAGCATGCCCCGCTGGAGCCAGGGCTAGGGTAGCAATGGGCAGGGGCTGGGACTGGGATGGAGTTTTGTCCTGAAGATAAAGGAGCCGGTGAGTCATGAGCGAGCGCCAGGCACTCTCAAGAGGCCGCTCAGAAACCAGCTCATCCGAATGCAGACAGACACTTGTCCCCATCCCTGTCCCCGTGGCTGTCACACACCCACGCACTCACTCCCTTCCCCCTCCTCCTCCTTGATCACCTACCTCCAGTGCCCCTGGCTTCTTCCTCCTTCTCAGCACCAACTGCCTGTCCCTGTCCCTGCCCACCCTCAGGTGGCCCCCCTGGAAGCCACCCCACAGCTGCCTGCATTGCAAGTGCAGAATGGAGGGAGACAGGGGGAGTCAAGAAGAAGCACCAACAGAGAAAGTGAAGTCCAGAAGGGTCTGAGACAGAACAGATAAAGGGGAAGCACTGTGAGCGCACTTCCCCCTGAAACCTTCGAGGAGAGAGGAGAGTTCATGAGGCTCTGAGGCAGAGAGGAGTCCTGATGACCTCTAGAAGGGCCCAGCAGTCCAGGGGTTGTGCCATGTCATTTCCACTCTCCAGACCCTCTGCCCTTTTGCCAGGACTGAGAAGCAATAGTATGGGATGCTGAGCTGACACGCTGAGGCCTCACCCTACCCCGGGGCACTAAGGCTCCCATCGGAATCACACCTGGGCCACCAGCCACTATAAGGGCTAGGGCAACACTCTGCCCCACCAAGCCTGTTCCTCACCATGATGGGTCATCACGGGGATGATCAGGGCTAGGGCTTGGGGAAGACAGAGTTCAGTCGGTAAATGCAGCCCCATGTTTTGCACAGTGGAGTATAACCACGAATATGCTATAATCCTGCCTTGGAGGGGCATCCGGTCAAGCGAGACAGAAAGGTCACCAGCACATGCATGCGCGCGTGCGCATGCACACACACACACACACACACACAC